TTTAGAGTTTACCCGATAACTTTTTTTAAAGAGATTGTTATTAATTTTTACTTAAATTAGTAATTAGTAGAGAGACATAACGTTATTAAATAATATTTTTGATAATTACAGGATTATTAAATTTATTTTAATCAAAGGATCAAAATTTGAATTGATAATAGAATATAAATTTTAACTTAATATGTATTATATTGTATTAAAAAATTATTTTTCACTTAGCATTTTCAAAGGTAAATTTTTGACTGAATGATAATAAAATTATTTAAAATAAATTTCATATAAAATAGCTTAAAATTAAAGTGTACTTTGAGAAAAAGAAGGGTATATATATATATATATATATATATATATATATATATACATATAGAGTGAAGAAGAATGATGAGAAAGGCGTGGGGTCAGATTCATTCTCCATCATTATCTGCAAAGCTTAATAAAGAAACCAGTTTTGAAATGCACCACGGCATGTCCTCATCTTGCTCCATTGCTTTCTATTTCATATAAACATTATATTATATAATATTATATATGTAACACTCCAGCTCCCTCAAATATTTTTATACAAACATTAATTATTTGAATTCGAATTTTTTCTTTTATTTTTATTTAAAAATATATATTTTACAGTTTTTTTAAAAAAATACAAACATTAAATATTTTAAAACTTGATGTTTTACGTATAAAAAGTAATTATTATTTTTAAATTGTAAATTTTATATGATAAACGTGATAAATAATTATCAACATGTATACAATTTAATAAGTTATTGCTAATGGCTTCTTTCATTTATTCTATTGTAAAATTTCATATAAAAAAAAAAAATCATTAGGTGTTTGAATTTAAAATTTCTGGCCTTATTTATTAATAACCCATCTGAAAAATTTACTAGTAATTTTTATATTTCAACATTTTATCTTATAAATATATTACATTTATACATATAACAAGTATAAAACATTAATAATTTCATTTTTTAATAAAAGATGGGCAAGGATCATGGGAGGAGCTACTAAGCTATATGAAAAAGTAAATATTTAATGTAAAATATTTATTTTAGAATGATAATTATTAGTATGCAATTGAATCCGATAGCAACATGTTACTATAGATTCAATATTCAATAAAATGTAAGTGGTCATATTAACTCTTTGACCATGATCACATTTAAGAAAATGAGCTAAAATATTAACTATATATATATATATATATGAATATTCACTAGACGATAAATAGACTATGGTAAAAATTTCATAAGGTAACTTTTTTTTTTAAATACAAAATAAATCAATTTAAATTTTTATTAGTTATGATTATTTCAATAAAAAAAAATTAATCATCATAATTTTTTTTTTAATTTAAAAATATAATAACTAATAAAAATATGTTCTGACTTTATTATTAAAATCTTATTGATATATTAATAAATTAAAATAATTATTATTAATTTATAAAATAATAAAATTTAAAGACATAACTTTTAAATATAATACAAAATTTTCTATGCACTAAATTACCGTACTATTAATTTGGGGGTAAGTTAATTATTAGTGAGTTAGGAGGAAATAAGAATGAATTACCAAGTACGCTATAATTAGGTGTGTGTCTCTAAAGGTTTGCCGGTTAGAGGGCAGAAAGAAGAAATGGAGATTGAAGATGATAGACAAAAGAAAGACACCGAAAATCTCAAGGACTGGATTTTGTTTTTTTTTTTTTTTTTTCTAATTTCAAAATTGCTTTCAAGTGTCACCAACTGCTTAATCAGCTAACAAGCAGGCTTAATTACAAGCAATAATATTTGCTTTGACTAAACCTTACATTCTTTCTCCATATATATATATATATATATAAGTATATGTGTGTGGAGGAGTG